CCATAGCCCACATGTCTTCAGAGCTTAGAAAAGTAATAAGTATAGTTACCCTACTTATAACCCCATTTATAACTACCCATGAACCCTAAACCCTAAACCCTTATAGTAACCCCATTTATAACTACCATGAACCCCCAAGTACCCTCTCGAACCCACCTTCGGCGTCCACGCCGAGCTCCCCACCTTTGTACTCGAAGGGCTTGGTCCCTTCGAAGGCCGGATCGAAGGCGCCGTGGCCTCCAGGACTTTGCTGTGCTGGTGACATAATATAATATCACATAGTACAATATAATGCAATATAGTATACTACTATAATATAGTATAATATAACATAATATGATATAATATAATATAGTATAATATAATATAATAGGATATAACACAATATCACAAGCCGAACCCTGGTGAATGGGACCTATCGGGACCTGTCATTCGCACTACGCCCATTCAACACTTTTGTATCGCGCCTTGCTGTCCACCCATTGCGCCGCCCATTGCGCCGCCCATTGCGCCACCCATTGCTCCACCCATTGCTTCGCCATTGGCATTCGTGAAGCCTTTTCGAAGCCTCAAGTGCACAAATCAAACACCACCACAAGCAGACAGTTCGGCACAGGAATCTGCTGCTGCAAGTGCTTTCCAACGTCAGTGCCCTCGTTGGGAACCGACTCCAATAAATCGAGGACACAAGTTGAAGTGCAGGGTCTGGCTCTCTGAGTTAGCCGCCCCTGGGAGAAGCTCTGTGCTTGGGCCTGCCACGAACGAGCTCGGAGCTGCGATTGCTATGGCTCTGGCTGACTTGGCATCTCGGACCCTGCCCTGTGCTCTGACAAGCAGGCCGTGACCTCAACCGGGAACCGCTAACAGTGCCTGCTGCTCGGCATAGTAGTCGTCTTCCTCCTGGCAAGTGCTTCGAGATCTGCAAAATGCCCCGGCCCAACCGCTACGTGCCGCAATAGTCCTAGTCTACATCGACGTGGACGCGGGCACAAGCAAACGCGAACGCGTACAGTATCCTTGCGAGCGCGTGCGCGTGCAGATGTGTGGTGATGTGTCGCAATAAATGCATGTGAACATGCGTATACGAACCTATGCAGATGTTTATTATATGCCTTGACTTGGATCCGTCATCAAGCGTTTGCATGTCAATTAACACACACAAGGACATTCGTGCATGGTACATGGCATGTACCCACGCACACATATACGCCTACAATCGCCTACATACACTCATACATACGTACATACATCATGTGATGCCAAAATCCGTCCATCAATCCATCTATCGATCCCGTTCATGCATGCAAACATACATACATGGACACTTGCATACATACGTACATACTACACATCGACACATTGACATCGATAAATACGCATATTCAGCCGACTCAAAATGTATACAGTTCTGTCAGTTATGCTTGCGAACACATGGGTGCAGGCGCAGCTATAGCTTATGCCAGCGACTTGAATACATACGCAAGCCTACAGATACCTTTGCAAATGCGTGAGGGTTTGGTATTGATGATATGTTGTAGATGCTCACCTCACCGAGCGGGTTGTTGATATAGTTGTGGTATTGCCAATGCAGAACTCACACGCGCAATTGTACACAATGTAGAGCGGCGCACCCTTCCTTTTCTCACTCGCCTTGGCTGACGTT